AGATAGATGAGCGCCATCGCAGCACATACGCAGGTGTCCTGTACCGGCCAGCGCGGATAAAGCTGACGATCTGGTCTTCAAACTTGAGCAACGTCAAGCGCTCGCGAGGGTTTTCAAGCGCACCGACCAAGACAGGATCGAGTGGGCCGGAAGATGATGCTGCAGAGACGGCCGCGGCGCCCCCGCGGCTCACGGGGCTCGACAGCTTCGCCATCGGGGTGCCATCATTGGACGGCGGGTCATTGGGCACGCGGATCTGCATGCTCGAGAGCTTCATGCTCACCGCTTCCTCGTCTGCTTGCTCCCAGCTATCGTCGGCGCGGGCCATGCTCGTCGGCGCCTGCTCGCGGTGCTCTGCCATCGATCGCTCCTGCCTCAGCTGGATGGAGGATTTGTTGATAGAGTCCACGCGCGCATACAAACTTCAAGCTTGTTTTAGGCCCGTGCATTAAATTCGTATAATTTCGGACCGACCAATCACGATTGGCCAGTCCGGATAACCTCGCCGATCGCATGCCGCCGCCTGGACGAGGAGGAGGGTAGCGTCTCTCGACGGCTAGCAACCCACTCTAGCCTGTGGCCACGAGCAAGTTGGTCGTGGGCGCCACCCGAGTAGCACAGAGTAGGCATCTGACAGCGCGATGGATGAGGCAAGAGATATACTCGATACCAGCGCTTTCAAATGGTCTCTCAGTGTGTGCTGTACCGGTATGTTTTGGCGACGGTGTGGTGGCGCTGGTAGGTGGTCCATTGACACATCGGTCGGCGTTCAAGAAGCTTTGTCGCCAATAGGTGAGCACCCACATGCGTGCCAATGGCCTTGATGCAGTAGACTCTTCCGCAGGTACTTGTGGCATGGGCGAACGTCCATTCTCGGTCGTTTTAGCGTCGCTGTCGTGGCACGCTCTACGCCCTCGCCGCCTTTCCACCAATCAGCATGGCGGTTGTCGGCATCAAATAGTGTATGTGGATTCTCTGATTGGTTATTGGATGCTGCAGATTGGTTGGTCAAACCAAAAGCCGAGTGTTCATCGATCTTAGCAGCATGAGCGACAGCGAGGTGGTTGACGAGCGCCGGGCGCCCAAGCGCCTTGGCCAGGACATGAAGCCCACCAACGTCAAGAAGCCCAAGACGAAGAACGTCGGCAAGTACCTGCGCCCTGCGCCGGAAGGCCGCGTCATCCACGTACGCCCACCTTTCGCATTCGCTGCTTGACAATGCCTCATGCATCTCCATGGCCTACAGAACACGTCCGACAAGAAGCTCAAGTCGGAGCTCAAGCGCAGTGACAAGAAGTTCTCGGACGCGGCGTTGCAGGCGGCGAAGGCCGAGATTCTTCTGCCCGAAGAATCAGGGTACTCGCGACGAGGGCTTCAACCACACCGCTCACGCCCTGCGTAGGATCCTGGTTGCGGAAGGTCTCGAGAAGACGCACCGATTCACGCAGGAGCAGCTCGCTGAGCATGTCGACATCAACACGGCCAACAAGATGTTTGACTTGACTCTCGACACGTTTGGGCCGTACAAGATTGACTACACGCGGAACGGCCGTAACTTGCTTCTCGGCGGCGCGAAGGGCCACATTGCGGTGTTTGATGCGCTGCGCATGAACCTCGGCTGCGAATTCCACGTCAAGGAGTCAATCCGCGACGTCAAGTTTCTCCACACAACTCGCTCTTCGCTGTCGCCCAGAAGAAGTACGCGTACATTTACGACCACACGGGCGCCGAGGCGCACTGCCTCCGCACCATGAGCGACCCCAAAGCGCTCGAGTTCCTTCCGTACCACTTTCTCCTCGCGTGCGTCGGTGGCGGCGGCGTCCTCTCGTACAACGACGTGACGACAGGGACGCAAATCGCCAACCACAAGACCAAGCTCGGCATGTGCGACGTCATGGTCCAGGTGCGTCATCTTCACCAACCCGCAGCATCGAGCATGGAGGTTGGCGTAGAACAAGCACAACGCCGTCATCAACCTCGGGCATGCGAGCGGCATCGTGACGCTCTGGACGCCCAACCTCAACGAAGCGGTCGTCAAGATCAAG